GCATGGGAGCAGGCATCTTCCCCTGGATCTGCGCAGGGCGGGCTGGGCCAGGCTGCACTCCCATAGGCTAGCCCCAGCCATCCACCACTGGGCTGTGCTTCACAGGGCAGGTGGAGCCAGGGTTGTGCTCCAGGTGGCTAGCCCCAGCAGCAGCCTGGAGCACAGCCCTGACTCCACCCACCACACAGAGCTCAGTGGAACAGGTACTATGGGGGGGGCTGCAGCCACCCTAAAATTCCCCATAGTCCCTGCTGATGGCCTCTCCCTGATCTGGGTGCACGTGCCCGCCCCCATGCCCTGCTTCTGCTTGCTTAGCCGGGACACAGTGGGATGAAGCCGTTCCTTGTCTGGGCACTGCAGGGAGGCTGGAGCAGCTTCCACCGCTGTGCACCGCTTGTGTGAGGCAGCGCAGCGGCACTGTCCTGCGCCTGCCCACCCTGGCCAGGTAAGCAGCGGGAGGGCATAGCCTCTGCTCCCAGCACCTTTCATCTGGAGCAAGCTGTGCCTGCATCATGCCCCCCCCAGCTCCCCAGCTGGCCAAGTGGCAATAGGGCATAGCCCCTGTTCCCTGCACTGCTGCACCCGTCACACGCCCCCTGCCCCACCACCCCAGCTGGGCAAGTAGCAGCAGTGCAGCACCCCCGCTCCCAGCACTGCTGTAACTGCATCCTGCACTCCCCTGCCCCACCTGGACAAGTGGCAGCAAAGCAGAGCCCCTGCTCCCAGTGCCTTGCGCCGCTCATCCAGAGTCTGGCCCAGCCTGCCCTGTGCAGATCCAGGGGCACACTCCTGCTCCCATGCCCTCCCGGATTGGCGATGCGTGGCAGCATGCAGTGTTGGGAGTCTCCCTCCCCAAGTCCCAGGCCCCCCTGCCCCAGCTGGGCAGCTTGTCCCAGCCCCAATCCCTCCCTCACTGTGGGGGCGTTGATCTTCCCCCCACACTCCCCTTCCCTCCACCCTCCACCCACCACAACAGACTTACCAGCTGGAGGCAGCTGTGTCCAGCATGGTAAGGATTGCTGCCTGTTTAGTCTATGGCCAAATCTCTGAATTGGCACCAAATCTTCAGATCCAATTTGGCCTAATCGGATCAGGACAGTGATTCGAATCACCAAATCGAATCATTGCCCCTCTGAATTGGCCGAATCCAAATCCAAATTGAATACTTGCTGCTTCACACAGTCCTAGTGTATATTTAATTCTAATGATTTCAGGACTAATAAAGCAACAACTTTTGATTATTTTTTCCTAGTTTGTTGCATTTTTATATATAATAAATGATATAGTAAATTAATGCACATTCCAATAAACATATATCTGGGGGGTTTTTCAATCTTAAACTGAATAATATAACTGTAGGCCCCTAGCATATTATTAATGCTTCCGTTTTCTTTTTAACTGAAGAAAATTGAAGCATTAATCTTTTTAACTGAAGAAAAATATATATTGGGTTGTGTGTGATGATGTACCATACCACCTGCACTCTTCTTTTCAAAATCCTAGATCGGCCCATGCTGAAGTACTGGAAGTATTCCTACTCACTGGGATCCCATTCTTGTTACCAATTTTGCGTATCTATGGGCTTCTTTTCTGAGGGAGACCACACAAGAAAAACAAGGGAACCATCTTTATTAACAACTAACTTCCTAATAATATTTGGGTAAATCAGAACAACAGGAGAAACATGCAAATTGGGCAATGCCCTCTATTGATAGAGTGGAAAAAATGCATGCAGACACTCAATACACAACGTAGGATGCTCAACTTTTCCTTAAAAAATTCTTCCCCTTTAAAAAGGAGGGAAACCAGAAATATTCATATAGCTTTAGGACAATAAGTAAGGGAGAAATCTAGCCAGGTCTCCCATACCATAACATTTTTTGTCCTTCAGAACTTACATTTCTATCTCACCAAAAAAACCTTGTATGGCCAGCATTTCCCAATTTTATACATGATATAATGAATGGGAGAGGAAGATCAGAAGCTTGGAGCGATATGGTAATCTATTCACTCAGTTCCCACATTTGTCATATGACAACATGACCTGTTACGTACAAAAGCTTATGCCTCTTTGAACCATTTAATCTCTAAGGTGCAGCACAGCCCTCTTTGCCTTCTGCCTGACTTCAGACTAACGTGGTTCAGTTCACATATTTGTGTGTGATGGGGATGCTCCTTTTTTTTCTTGTGTATTAAAAATTAACTGGACTGTAAGAAAAGGTGGGCACTGTTACCTCACTTCTTGTGGGGATTCACCTTTAATTTATCTCAGGTCAAAGTAACACCTGGCAGAATGAGAGACCACAGGAAAATTTCAGAAGCTGTTTTGCTGTAAAAACCATCAAGACCTCTGAGCAGCTGAAACAAGCAGGAGAGTGCGCAATAGGACTAGCAAGTTTTCTATAGGTCTCCGCAAGCGCTCCACAGACCAGATTGAGAGCTGCTAATTTAGAGAATATGAATGAGGGACCCTATGATGCCATTTACACAGTCAGGGTTTTTAGGGTAGGACCACATTTTCAAGACTGGCAGCCAGATGTTCAGTTGCTGTAAATTGTTATCTTGTATATCAACTTGCCTTGAGCTGCAGCAGTTTACACAAGTTGAGCATCTGGGCCAGAGTTTCCTAGAAGATGAAAGCAAGGAGATCTGTAATTTAATGGGTCTTTTTATAATCCTCAACATTTAAAAAAAGGTTTTGTGTGTTCTAAATAAGTTTTACTAATTTAATTTTTTTACCAGACAACCAAACATGCAAAATATTATATTGGGCACTCCATTAAGCATACTACATCTTTAATGAATGGTTGAGTGAACCCATGATTATTGTTTAATTTAAGATATTGTAAGTACTCTGCTTTATAGGAAGTGTTTGTCCAAAGATGAAGCTGCCAACTCATAGCAAATAGCTCTGTGTCCAGATGGTGTGTGTTCTCTGTGTGCTCCCTTTCCATTCCTTAGGTTCTTAATATTCTTGTCCAGGTTGTTTCAGTGTTTCCTATTATGTGTTGCCAAAACAGCTGTTAAATAAATGTATGTAAGTGTTTTGTTTTTATTTTACAGTGAAATTTTAATGCTCACTTATAGGTGCCAAATTGACTGCCCTAGAGATCACAGTCCTCAGAACAGGTGCAAGTTTCCCCACTGTGCCAATCACATGTGTCAAGTCTGACCTTTTGAGGTCTTTTCAAGGGAGGTCTGGGATATATTAGTATTCCCACTCAAGCAGCCTTTTACTTCCTTGTTGAGACAACCAGCCAGGGTGGCAGCACAGTTGTCAGTGTTTTTTCATGATATGGACACCTGTCTGCCAGGAACGGGAACTAAACAAATTTGAACCCTCCAAGGGCAAAGCCTTTTGCTACCGATTCATCTAAATGACATGTTTTAGTCTGCATTAACAATCCCTCAGACTTTGAACTTCCCCTGTGTATACATGACATATTTTACCATCAAAAAGCGGCTGTCCCTGGGACACATTTCAAGGTAGAGTGAGCATTGGAAAAAAACATTCCAAAAGAAGAAGTATAAGCTGCATTCTAACGTCTCATAAAAACTGCATGAGTTTGCAGCAAAAGCAGCAGCCAGTGGGTGGGTTTGTGTGTGGGGGGGGGGCAGGAACAGTCTATATAAGGAATAGGCAATGTTTACCAGAGTGCAGTAAAAATCCCTCATTTTCAGTGCCTTAGAGTCTTAACAAGCAGATTTCCTGTAACTATAGCAATTAGCTCCAGAGTGACGGATCTCTATTATGCTAAGTATTGTGTATTGTTTAATGCTCTAGTGGATTTAGTGGTTACAGTGAAGATATTTTTTTCCAGCTTGTTAACAGGTACACTAGCTTTATTGGCTAGATTGATAAACTAAGCTCTGCAAACTTTTGTGGATTAACAAATCTACTTCATAAGGGGCAATGGAAGAAAGTATTTTAGGATACCAGGGCTGTCCAACTTCTCAGTGGTGGGGGCCACATCCCCCTCCCAGGACGCATGCTACATGTGCCTCTTCCCCTCTTCACCATTGTGCTGATACCGCCATGCCATACCACACATGCCCACCCCCACTGGGCCATATGGATGCTCTGCCACTGTACTGTGCCAGCACCCTGGGTTCCCCAACCCCTCCAGCTGCTGGATGCCTTGGCACCTGGGCTGTGCCATCCTGCCCCACTCCAATGGGTTGGGGCAGGCAGCGGAAACTGGAAGAGGAAGTGGGATCCCAGAGACCCAAGCAGCAAAGTGATGGTACGGAGCAACGGAGCAACACCCAGACTAGAAGGCTGGGGGCTGCAAATTAACTCCTTGGGGTTCATGTGCAGCTCATGGGCTGCCAGATGGATAGCCCTGCACTATGTTGTGGCTGAAAACTGAGGAATCTAAACAGATACTGTAGCTGAGACACAACACACTATAGTTTCTCCATTCCTCTGGAAAATAAATAAGATGAAGCGGCCAATGGTGTTCATCAGGGGTTGCTCCAAAATCCAAAAATGTTAAGACTGCTGTGAAAAAGATGAGCCCTGGATCATATTCCTGAATAGCTCATAATGTAGACCAGAACATCAGACATATATCTTGTTGGTAGAGATCAGTGAAATATCCATCTCACAAATTTTGTTTCCCCACTGATCCATCTGCAAGGGCCGCATGAATGCAACTGTCCCCCATGCAGAAATAGACATGCACAAGCAAGAGTATCGGGGATATTTTTATTTGCAAAAAGAATGGCAGGTAATTTGAAACTGCTTGGGAACTGCCTGCACTTCCCATTTTTCTCACTTACTTCTTCTGAATTTTGGAGGGAAGACAGCAACTTGATCCAAAACCCAATGAAGTCATTGGAAATGCTCCCACTTGTTTTCAACAGGCTTTAGTTCAAGCCCATACTAAATGTATTTTGCCATCACCATGGTTCCTTTTGGAATGCTACACACACTTTCTGTGGCACAAAGAGATGAGCATTCAGTGAACATCAGATTATACAACCCCTTCCTCTTGCAGATGGATCAAAAATAGAACAAATTCTTATTTGTGAGATAAATCTGTTAGTGATCTCCACTGACAATATAAACCTAGTGGAACCAACTATAGTAAGGTATGTTGCTAAAGGATTTACAATATATCTTTTTGAAAAGACCGTATGTAACTTCCACATGCACAAGAAATAAGATTTGGGTACACTGTGTTTATTGCAAGATTCGTTTTTCAGTCAGTAGAAAAGCAACCATAGACATAAATAGAAGAAACAATCAAAGCAAATTCATTCAATGTCACTTTTCTCTGCACAAGAAAAATGGGACTACAGAAATGTGTATATCAAATTTTTAGATATAATTTTTCCATTTCCATAATGAACCAAAGCAAGATCTCTAAAAAAGGGATAGTTTAAGCTTCTATGGAATATTTAACTATTAGCAAAAGCTTCAGGGCCAAAGCTTTTTGGGAGCATATCTACCCAGACTACAATAGGGTTATCCAGTTTCTAAGTGGCTGAGGGCCAAATGCCACATGGGCCACACCAGTGGGGCCTGCATGCCCTCAACCTGCACCAGTGTGGGCCATGCACTGTACCAAAGCCTCCCCATCTGCATCATCTACCTCCATCCCCCTTGGCTGCACCATGCACTGGTGCCCCACCAGCACTGCAGTGTATGCCTACATTTCCCCCCACCCCCACCACTGTATCACATGTCCTCCACCCATTGCACTGTGGATGCCCCCTCACACTGCATCACATGCTCTAGGTCACAGGAAGCCAGCAAAAGGCAGAAGAGAGGAGGGAATGCTGGAGACTCTGACTGCTATTGCAGCCTGGAGCAATGAGAGAGTGACATCTGGGCAGGAGCCAGGGGCTACACCTTAAGCCCTTGTAGGCCACATGTAGCCCTGCTCTACACCATTCTTGAGCTTACCTCCAAAATGCAAGCCCCACCCAACAGCTCTGCACATAACCAGAAATATGGTAGTGAGCACATTGTGAAGGGCTCTTGCCACTGCCACTCTTGAGATCTTCAGAGACAGATCTTAATAACAGTGGTTGTGGGTCCCCATAGAGAAAGCTTACCACTTCAGTTCCTAGTTTGGTGTACCCATAGTGGGAGCAGTTGGGCAGGACTTAACATTTGGCCACAGCCTCAAGAGGCAGCATATACCATTGTCTACCAAATGCACATGTGGCATTAATGTCATTCTATTGATAGATTAATCCGCCTATTTTGCCCAGTATTCTCTTACTGCTGAAAAAATCTCATATGGTTTTACTATATGAGTTCCTGATATTACCAGTACTTTATTTATCTTGCTTCATTTAGGGGGAATGGACTAGATAGCTTCTGCAGATCCCTTCAAGCCCAACTTTTCCATGATTCTATAACATTTGTCAGTTGATAGCAGACAGATTTAGAATATGTTAGCAAATAGGGAAGAGAATTGCTGGCATATCTATATTTATCTCAAGATTAATGTTTTCACATTGTCAATTATTTATTTCTTACTTTGATCAGAGAAAAACTAAGGGTGCTCTTGGCTAATTAATTGCATGGTAAAAAGAAAGAAAGGCTGACAACGATCTCTGTAAACTGTGAGGAACAATTATGACATTGTGTCTGAATTTTTCAGCAAGTGCTCATTGGCCCTTTGCAAACATTGCTGGCATATAAAATTCCTAACAGATGATATTGGCAAGTATTTTGAGGCAGTTTAATTACCTGATAATCTGTTAACTGAGAGGTGATTGATGGTTCTTAGATCAGTATTTATAGTTTCATAGTTTCATAGTTTCAGGGTCGGAAGGGACCTAATAGATCTTCTAGCCCGACCCCCCGCCAGGGCGGGAGAACAACAAAAAACCCTAAAAACAAAAACGGGACTCAAATGAGTCCAGCCAGGTAGGCATCCAGCCTCTTCTTAAAGACCCCCAGGGTAGGGGCCAGCACCACCTCCCTTGGAAGTTGGTTCCAGCTCCTAGCCGCCCTAACTGTGAAGTAATTTTTTCGGATGTTATAATCTGTTCGGTTTTTTTTAAATCCATTTTTGTCGCATATTCATATTGGCCTGCATTGTCACTAAGCAGAATGCATGTCAGCAATAATTTACATTCTCTGCACCAACTCAGCTATGTTTGCTGATTTTCTTGAGGGAGTGGAACTAAACCTGTGCCCTGCCTCTCCTTACCCACCTGCATTAAACTAGAGAGAATTGTGTCTTACTGAAACTAGACTGTTTCCATCACCTAAGCTAGCTCACATACCATTTGGATTACACCGCACTGCACAGTGTAGACATATCCTTATTTCTGTGCATTTGGAACAAAGGGCTGGGTATCCCATGCAAAATTATAATAGGAACTGTGAATAACCCTGGTTTTTGTCCATGGGGCTGTCACCCAGGTTGAAATCTAACTCACATGATTCCACTTACCTAGTTGATCTCACTTTTTTAATCCCAGGGACATCTTTTTAAATGTAATTTTAAAATTTTATTTTTCATATGGCTCATGAATAATCTTTAAAAAAAACACTTTTTCTTTGGTTAGTGATCTACTTCTGCTTTCCACCCTTGGTGTATTTTTGAGGTGATAATCCAAACATTAAAAAGAAATGAAATACACAAGAGAAAACCACAGATATGTCTAACAAGATGCTAATTGAAATCCAATCATAGCTTTTGACCCTAAACATCCTTAACCTCATTCTTTCATACTCTCTTCTCAGACCCCCTGGTTATTGCAGTTCCTTGCTGTGTTACCTTGTAGTAAAGATTCTAATCTCACCAAGATAAGGGATCTGTCAGTTTCATTTATCTGATTATTATGCACACCTAAGGTAAAATTATGATGGTGGGTAAAGCTAGAAATAACTTCCTACATAAGCCTCTATTCACTACAACCCTGGCTTGCAATCCACTACTACTATTTCATTCGACTGACCATAGACAACCAGTGTAATTAATTATGTCATGTTTTCATGACAGAAGAAAATATCCAGTAAGAATAAGGTTAAATAGTTTATCCTAACTCATAACTTATTTAAGATGTGACTACCAATATCACATTTAAGAGGATAAGGTTTTTTTCCCCAGTCATTGGGTGAAAAAAGCCCCTTTTTTACATTCATATACAAAGAAACCTCAGTAAATACAGTGTCTATCATTAAACTGCTGCCAAAAGCAGCATGTGCTCAGGAATGGAAAACAACTACGAAGCTGGTAAAACACAGCCAACACTGAGCATGACTATAAAACACATGGCCCATATTGGGCAAACATGCTGATGGTAACCTTTTTTTTATTTATAGTTTTTATTCAAAACATTCTTACAAAGCTTCACATATTGAGCACCTTCGTTTTACCAAGACTTTGTGTTGCTAAAAAAACTACACACCAAAAACATGCAACTACATATATTAAACCCAGAAACAACATACATCAGCTTCCCACAAAAAACCCTTACAAATTTATTTTTCTCTATACAGAACTCCCTGAAAAACTCTTACCTCAGTAACCACCTGAAACTCTCCATCCCTCCCGTCAGTCCTCTTTGTTGGTTCAGCGAAACAAGTGTACCCAGTCCCTTTTCCTTGATTTCTCCTCCTCTTCTCTTGTCCCAATTGATACAGTATTGCAATTCATGCAGCCCCAGCTTCAGGCACTCTCTTTCAGTGAAAGCCAACCCCTTAGAAGCCCAGAGGTTTCTTACTTTTCATATACTGGTTTTAATACTTGCTAACAGTGCTATTAATATTAGATGAAGACTGAAGTGCAGCTCCTGTGCCTACCCCATGGTGCTTCACAGAAAGCGCCATGAGTTAGACTAATCTTCCCAACCCAGCAGATGTTAGCTGTTGGATCAGGAGGATGGCAGATTGAGCTCCAATAT